AAATTGAAATCACATTCAAATCTAATGAGCATTCGTCACATTAACAGCGGGTTCTTTCCGTTTCATGGTTCAGGAAGGGCCTGGCCGTGGAGCTTGTGCCCATGCCTTCATGTTTGCCTTTTTCGCAAGGTGCAGGCAGTCAGGGGACGGTAAGCGACGTGAGCTTTCCCATGCCTTCAACTGGGGGAGACGCTGATTGTAGGTGCATCATTTGCGAACGCCATGACAATTTTATGACTGCCCCAACCCACATCACTTTGAGGGCCAGGAATTGATGCAAACCCTGCTTCAGCAGCTTGAGAATTTGTTGGCCATCATTGTAAGCTGCAGTCAGGGGCGCTATCTTCCGATGCCTTGCCATTCGCTTCCGCCAAAGACTGGGAGTCATGGCCCAAACAGAGCAGCCAGCCCCTTTAACGTCGAGTCGCCGGCAGAGCGTTTCGTTGAGGTCTTATATAAAAGGGGCCACCAAACAGCTGCATAGTCACGGGGAACATTCGTTACATTAAGTGGTAACTGGTATAAGGGAAGATGTGCCAATATCGAATGCGGCCACAAACGGATATTTTTAAGCTTCACGGACCTGAAGCTACGCCCACGCCTTGCATTGTTAGTGACTAGTTTTCATTGCGAGGTATGGCTTGAAAAAAACTGATATAATCCGAGGTCCATGATCTAGAGCTTTTCGCCACCGTGCGTCACCCAAACCTGCGGCCACTGCTTGGTATCACCTTGGCGCCCGAGGGAGCTGCTGCGAGATTGTGTCTTGGAATGGGCTCAGGCTTCAATCATCTCAAAACCCTCTTCAAACGCAACAGATGTAGCATATGAGATCATATTATATGTCAATGACGATTCTCAGGGCTGCCATCACTTGTCGGGTTTCTTCCAGTTTCGCCAAGCAGCTTCTTGTGTTGGTTCCACGTGTCAGTTGGAGGCTCTGCGAGGTTCCCCCCTTCCGTACGCGGCAAGGACCACGCTCTATGAGATGGCCAAGAACAGCAAATTGCAACTCGACTCAGCTTGAAGCGAGTGTCACGTGCTGTTTTCCCACTGTGTCTGACTGTGTCTTTGCTTTCCTGCTTTGTGCCTTACGCTGATCTTACCAGACTTCTGGGCGTGACAAGAAGAGGCTCTTCGAGCTGATTCATGCAAGCTTTGCAGATGGCAGCAGGCAGCAGCTGGACTTCAGGACTGAAGTTTGCTCACTGGAGCTGTCTTTACATTCATGTTCCTCATGGCGCCCCTACAGTTTCTCATGGCTTGGCAAATCAGCTAGTTTCTCATGGCGTCCACATGGCTTGACAGGACTGAGTTGCAGATCAGCTTGGGCATTTGCGAAGGCATGGCTGCGCTGACCTCAAGGGGGCTCTCGCATGGAGCTTTGTGCTCGGTGAACGTCGAGGTGGTGCAGACAGGTGGGGAGTTCAAGAAAGACACGGTGATCGCAAGGCAAAGACATTAGTTATCAATCATTCTTTCATATTCTTTCTTCAGATTGGTTCAGACCGTATACTCGTAACTAGCTTCCAAGTAGTAGTAGCTGGCAGAGTGTGTTGGTTCTGTCGATTCTTGCTGGCTCCACTGAAACCTCTGCAACATGAGCAGCGCTGTCATGTCAGCCATCTGGGAAAAACTGCCCTTCATGGCCGTTTGACATTTCGTGGTGTTTTTTCATTTCAACCATTTTCAACCGTAAGACCATCAAAGCAGTTGCCTTGGGCTCCTTGGGGGTCCCGGGTTTTGATCGTTGCCCTTGGGTCATAGCTTCTTTAGCCTCCCAGCTGGTGGCTGCCACGCCCGGCTTTGTGGCCTGGGCGTCTCCTGGTGGCGCTTTGGCTGGCGAAGCTGTTTGAAGGTGCCGACAGCTGTGTGATGGCAGCTGAAATGGATCGAGACAATCTGCTTCAGATTTATTGGTCAGTTATTATATAATTGTTACCGACTGAGTAGAATGGGAACTAGGTTATATATCTGGATATCGCTTAAGAAGCTCAATTCATTGTGGATCTGAGTTTGCCGAATTTCCTGGCCCAGACAGGTACGTGGTGCCCAAGCTAAGCGCTGCGCCTTGAGTGTCGAAGAAGTGGTGAAGAAGTACTCGGTGTGCTTCTTGGCTTAGCCCAACAACACCATTGCCGCCCATTGCCATTGTTCGCTAAATATAAGTCCTTTCAGAATTAGTTGTGCAACTGAAAACTCGCGATGTTCAGCGGCCCTTGGGGCAGGACATGCCATTGTTTTGGCAGAAGCAGCCCCTCATATCGTTGAGCAAAGAACATCTAGGCAAGAAGCAATGAAGCACAATACCTTTTGCCTAAGCCTTTCTGCTCTAAGCTGTCCTAACTCCTTCCTTGTGTTTTGCCCCGTGTGTCCTCCACTCCCACGCGGACCCGAGGTCCCGTGAATTGGATGGCGCCCGAGCTGCTCCGAGGCCATCGGCCGCGGCAGGCGGCGGACGTGCATTCGCTGCTCGGAGAGTCGGAGATGTTGGGTGTATATAACAATTCATTTTATATATTTCTTAATTGTCTTATATTTTTAGATTGTCTTATTAGGTTGGAGGCCATCGCTAGTAGGTTGGAGGCCATCGTTCTCAATAGGGAGACTCCCTGGCCCTGGCTGGGAAGACTGGTCATGACTGATTTATTTTCCCTTCTTCCAGGGGGTTGTCCCTATTACAACACACATACGCACATTGGAATAATTATTGAAGATGGGCCACCCTTTGTGTATGCTCGTTAAACATAGAGATTCATGGTTTCGCGCAGATCACGCATCTTGGTTCCTTCACTAAGGTTCGGCCTCATTCTTTGGGAGATGCTCTTCCGAGCAGTGCCTTATGGTGAGTTCTCCATCGCGCAGTGCCCGGGCGCAACCTTACGTAGGTTCCTAGATGGTCAAAGGCCTTTCTCGTATGGAGCGTGTTTCAAAAGGTCCAGGTAGTCTGTGATTCGGAAGATGTCTCAACGACCCAAGGATCATAGCCACCGTGGGATATGGTCGCCACCAGCTCCGCACGGCTGCAGCGCCCAGCGCTTCCGCAGGTCGCGTGTTTCTCCATGAGGCCAGAGGAATGCGGAAGCATCCAGGGAGACAGTGATGCGTTGCGCAGCTGCAAACCGCACACGCGGCAGGTAGCGGACCAGTGTATGCGCTGGGATGTCGCTGAAAGGCCTTCATTCTCACTTTTGCTCGAGACTTGGACTTCAAACCATGTCAAGACTATCCAAGCCCTTAGCAGCCAAGGATGCTAGTGAGTAAACTCGATGAACGCACGCTTGTCTTCATTGCCCTCGACAAGACTACACGACAGTTATGCCATTTTGTGCCACCTTATGCCTTTCACCACCCTACTCTGAAATATGATGTATCATATTGCTTTTGGGATGTTTGATGCCATTGGTTTGCCTTTGCTCCATCGTCGCCCTGGGCCTGGCACCGTTCTCAGGAAAGTCTCCGGGAGACGCGGCAAGCGGATGAGCGTCAACGTGCCAAGAAGGGCGTGCTGGGGCGGCTGGGAGGCACCACCGAGGCACGACGGAAGACGGACGACGACCGCGCGACAGGACAGGAAGACGGGACAGGAAAAGCATGGAAACGCCTTTGAAGAGCACTGAGAGGACACATTCATGGACTTTTTTTGGATTCTTTTTGGCACTCTTTTGTTCCACGACGGGTTCTTTCATGTTCTTTCAGTGTTTCTTTGACTGATTGGCCAAGCTGTTTAGTTTATTGAATGCCAATTTGGTATTCAATTAGAGGAAGAAGATTGTCCGCTGCTTGAACCGGGGCAAGGTCTCTTCAGGTCCGCGCTGTTAAACCTGACACATGCATACAAGAAGACAAGTGACTTGCTTCTTTTGACGCAGTCTCAATTAATCACATCAAGTGGTTATCAGGAGGGAATCTCTGTGTTTCGCTTGTGGTGAGGCTCTGTTGAGTGGCCGCTTTAGCACTTCCAGCGCGCCGGTGCCTACCGAGGGCCCACGGATGGTTCGATTGGAGACAGGCCGGCCCTGAGTCGGCAAGATGAAGCCTTGAGCATTCCATTGCTAGATTGATGTGGTACGTCGTGCGCATTGTTTGACACATTTTCTAGATGCTCGTAGAAACAAGAAGCTACTAGGAACAAGTGCATCGCTACTAGTAGCAAGTGCCTTACTAGTAGTAATAAGAAGCTATTAGAAACAAGATGCTAGATATAGGGCGATTGATCTGCAGGTGAGTGGCTTCGCGTTGATGAAGATCTGGTGGAACAGTATCCGGATGACGAGGACCTGACTTGCCTTGCATGATTCATGAGTTTGCAGGCCTGCGAAGCCCCGACCAGTACCACAAACAGTTCATATAAAGCCGACATACAGACAGACAGACAGGACAGGACAAGACAAAACCAAACCAAATCATATATGTGCATACATCAATGCATCAATACATGCATGCATGCATGCAGACCCTCTCCAATCGAGAAAAAGCCCGCAAATTCAAGCGAACACACGCAGATACATATACAGATACATACAGTAGATAGATAGCCGCACAATAGCTGTGACTGTGAGGGAGCCACCAGCCAGTACAAAACGTGAGCATAAGTGAGCAATGTGTTCCTAGTAGCGTCCTTGCTCCTAGTAGCGATGCCAGGAGCCCCTAGTAGCTACTTGCTCCTAGTAGTACGGCCAGGAGCCCCTAGTAGCGTCCTTCCGCAGCTTTGGGAATGGCACTTTGATAAGGAGAAGTGGCGTACCCTGATGGCTTTCCGAGCCAAGCTGGCCAGTCAGCCAATGAGCGACACAACCGAAACTTGATGCGAAAACACCCGCTGAGAAAGAGCAGATCAGGACTTAGTCAGTAAGGATCCACGACAGATGTAGGATCTAACATGATCTTACATGACCAATCATGAGGGCTGATGGGTGTATCTCAACCAATGCCATTGGCGACCGTGCATCACCACCGCAACAGTCCCAAAGCCATGTGAGAAATCCTGTGGGTCTGGGTGACAGGGTGGCTTGATGTGGTTTGGGACATTTACTAGTAGCTTCTTGTTACTAGTAGCGATGGCCTCCAACCTACTGTAATAGCGATGGCCTCCACCTGATAGTCTCCTTGCTACCATTTTTAGGGACTTGAATGAGAGGTCATTGCCAGCCACCCAACTGTTCAAACAAACTGACCCCGTCACCCCTTGCATACCCTATCTGAGAGCCAAGTTAACCCTTCGGAAAAAATGCCAAGAACTTCCAAGGGAAAGCATAAAAGACAACACGTTTACCGGAAGAAACGGAGCTTTCTTCACCAAAGATTCCTCCACTCCTTCAGCGACACTGACCGACACCGGCGACATGCCATGCTCGCATGGCTCCGATGGCTCCCATGGCTCCCCGTTTGGGCCGAGCCGGAGGAGTTGTGGGAGGCGCGCGTGCGGCGTGCCCAAATGCCCAGTGGTTAGGGCGCGATTTTGGAAAGGAAAATGGTCGGATCCAAGGCGCTTGTGTTTCCTCTTCCATGCTGCGGGAATGGTGCGTAGTTGTCACATGTTGTCACATGTGTCACCATGACGATCTGTTGTTCTAGCAGGTGTTTTGCTAACAGTCCCTTGGTCAACAACAAGCTATCGCATCGTTAGACAAGCAGTAGCTTAGATGTTATACCCGGCAGTTGTTGAGCGAGTGAGACCCAGGTTTATTCAGGTTTTGGTAAGTTCTAGCAGCTCCTCTCCCTGGTCTTCACAAGACCCGTGCACATGGGGCTTGGCTTTCTTCCCCATTCTGTGTCCACGTTGACGAACATTGGCGACTCCGCCGGCTGACAAGCAATATATATATATATAACTATATATATATAACCACGGGTTGTGTACTAGTGTAGCCACATGTGGCCAGTGTTCATTGCAGTTTGACATTAAAAGAGTTGGGATGTGTTCCAGAGGAATTCAGAGGATATGCTAGCAGGTAGGAGCATATGCGGGAGCATCTAAGTAAGCGAGACTGTGTTTTCTTTGTTTATCTCCATGAGCTGGTTCGCAGTTGCGCGCGAAGCTCATCAAACCCAGTGCGCATAAAGTCCCTTGGCATCTCTTGGCCGAGCTTTGGCATGCTTAGAGATGCGGTACATTTTTCAGTCGCCCTGGCAAAGCCTCCGTAGTTTTAATGTCGTTTCGTAATGATTAAATGTGACTCATGACATGAGCAAGTCATATTGCCATATTGCCTGCATTCTCTTTTCATCCAGGCACCTCGATACGTCAGCTTTCTCCCGGGACATTGGCTCCTGCTCCTGCGCGAGTCGCGCTTTGATTATTGCTACTGGACCAATGTCTTCAGCGTCACGGAGGCGGAGCGTGGGAGCGGACGGTGGACGGTACCGGACATCGGGTGGAACTGGTTCTGGACGCCTTGACCACAATGAATGCCGAAACAAGCCATAGGGTGGTTGAGATGTTCGACAATTCTAGGCACAGTCCGCAAAGCGAGATGTCAGACGATGTCGGGGCAACAGTTTAGAATTACACATTGAGACTGCTTGAGGGAGTTGGTGCAACTAAAGCCCAGAAGCGGCCGGATTGTAAAAGGCATCATATTTCAGAGTTGTACATGTGTTGTCATGTGTTCAGACTGGGAGGAGTGTGTCGTCCCTTCGGCTTTAGGCCAACTTGCTGGAAAAGGGCTTCAGCATCAAGTCATTGCACGAAGATGCTCGATTTGCATTGATTGAAGAGCCACCAATTTTCCTTCACTTGATGGAATCTTGATATTTCGTCCAGCCGTTCGCAAATGCTTGGGTCCATTTTGGCAAGGTCTTCACTTGTCTACCCTCCTTCATCCTCCTTCCAATGGAATGTGTTCCGGCGGGGATGTGGATGACCTCAAACTAAGAAAGTATTTACATGGATAGTCTCGCAGCCTTAAAGAGACTGAGACTATCGTCATGGACAAACTGCAAGATCATGCATCTCGGTACAGTTGGCATGAATCGATATAGACCCCAAATAGATAGAAAAGGATATAGATCCCCACCAATAATGTATTGGACACCGTGTCACTATCGTTATTTGGGGATCACTATACGTTTTGACATGCCAACTAACGCTCGGCAGCTTAACGTGTTGCCCAGTTGCTGAGCTTTTTGAGGTGAGTAAGTGTGGACCATCAATTGAGCATGGCTGTAGCTTCTTCGACGCGGAGGTCATCCGAAAAGATCCTGCGTCTGCTGCCTGTCCGCCAAGAAACAAAACCAAAACAAGCCTTTAAGCATTTAGCTACAACACAGTTCGGAGTATCAAGACATTCCAGCCCTTCCAAAGCATGACGAGAGCTCTCATTCTGCTGCTGAGGCCTCCCTCTTCAATAGCAAGGCCGGAAGCCGGCTCGTCATTGCTGAGAGCATGAACACCAGCCCCATCACAAGATGTGCACTCAGCAGTGTCCAAGACAAACCAGGGTCACAAACGGAGCATGGTACAGCTGTGCCCAACGGGAGGCTCCTGATGGCTACCTGGGATCTTTGTGGCGCGTTCGCAAGCAGATCAATATCATGTGCACTGATAGCGGGAATTTCATTCTCCTCCGTTCTACATACGCTTCTTTTTTGCATACTTGCACCGGGTGACGGAAGCATGGACTCTCTCGACCACACATTCAACCTGACTTCAGAGAGGGTCGCAACACCCCCCCTTGCAATCTAACCAGCTACGCCGGCGATGCACCTCCAAACACCGGTTTCTTTTGAAAAGCTCCTAGTAGCTTCTTGTTACTAGTAGCGATGCCAGGAACTACTAGTAGCGTCTTTGCTCCTAGTAGCGTCCTTTGTTCCATAGTCCTGATCTTTCCTAAAGCTTTGATGGGAACAGTCGAGTCAAGAACTCCCGAGAAGGTGTAACCCGGGCCAGGATGACTTGGAACAATCAATTTTTCTCAACCCTCTCCTTCCGACAGTTTGCGAGTGGCACCGGCCATGGCAAGAAGACCCTTGGAGCCTAAGGATTGGACACTATTGGGTGGGGCAAGGCTCTTGCTCCGAGTTCCTTGACAAGGCGCTCATGCGTTGGACAACATGAGCAGTTCCACTGAACATGACAAACTCAACGGTTCCACATTCATGTTTTTGTCCCAACGGGAACTAGTTGAGCATGAATAATGTGCCTGAAGTAGCAGCTCTCATGCGCCAATACTAAAGCATGTTGATGGGCACGCCGAGTCTTGGCCTGGCGAGGATCCTTTCATGCAAGTGCCAAGCCCCTTACGGGTTTTACATCCTCCTGGCTTGTGGGGGAGATGGTTGAGAAGGCCCGCCTCACGTAAGTGTAAAGAAAGCGCCCAGAAGCCCAGAGCCCAAGTTTCGCTGTGCCAGGTCTTTGCAGGAAGTGGGATTGGCAACATGTCAGACTGCAAGACCGTTGCGTAGGATGATGTTTCACACTGTTCAGTTTGGGTGTGTTTGGGCTGCTTCAGTCACACTTCTGTGCAAAGACATTTTCCGAGTGACAGCATCTAAGGAAGCCGATTCTCTCTCAGATCGGTCTCTGATAGACACTGCTTTGGAAGCCATGCCTGAAATATGCACTGACAGACGCTCAGAATTGCTCATTATTGCTACTGTGCCAGGTTCTCATGGAAGTCGCATTTCGCCTGTAAGAGTCGTTTCTTGTTCCCCCAAACTTCTTGAATGCCAAGAGCATTGTTGCACCATTCTGAAATCTTGAGATTGTGGTCTCAAAGGCAGACTTGCTTCTTCAGGTGTCACGGATGTGTGGGATAGCCAGTGGCCAGATGGCACCACTCCAAAATCGAGCCTGGAGAGCAATTATATAGAGGTCAGGCAAATATACTTATCACTTATCACATCATGTTTTGCTCATACCCATCGTAGCAGAATCCAATGACATCCTCACAGCTGCAGACAAGAGGTGTGTTTGGTTGCGCTAAGGATGTTGGTGATTGGTTGTAGCACGATGGCAGGAGAGCCAACGCAGCCTTTGATAGACAAGGGTGCTGGTGGCTTGTGCCTTGGAACACCAACGAGAGATGAACCACCGAGAGCATATGGATTTTCGATCACTGATATGTCGCAGGGGTACAAGCAAGTTGCCAAGATTTGCCAACTTTGCAAGGTTCCTTGACATGGATCGCCGTGCAATCCGGGTGGCTCGTGCGCAGAGCTCCGCACCAAATCGCCTCATCATGAACATCACAGCTTCTTGGTGGCGATGGGTCCTAGGTGGTTACTGTATGCGACGAAGATGTTAGTGTCAAGCTTGTTGAGCACTGTCAGGTTGCACCCCACACCGTGGGAAGTCTATTGAAGGAGTACAAAGCCTTCGTTGAAGACTTGGAGGCAGACTCTAGATTCCATCAGTCTCCACGCAAAAATCGGATGATTCGGAAAGGTATCGCTTTTGGAAAGGTCTTGCAAGTGGAGGACGCTACTAGGAACAAAGGGCATCGCTACTAGGAGCAAGGACGCTACTAGGGGCTCCTGGCCTTACTACTAGGAGCAAGAAGCTAGTAGAGGCTCCTGGCATCGCTACTAGGAGCATTCTTACTACTAGGAACAACAACGCATTTGTCAGGTCTTACAAGTGGACATTGATAGCTTTGATGGACCGATGGTCCAGGCCTGGGCCAGATGGTCCAAAGTTGGTATGCTTTCCTACAGTTGGCTCACGGAAGAATCCACCGTCATGTCGTGACGCTTTCACGTTTGTGTGTGGTGGTGGCTTCATACCCTGTCCGAATGTAAACCCTCTTGTGCCAGAGGCTTTGTTGAAGCTCACTCAGCCCAAAGCAGTGGTGGTGGAGATTCGTGACTTCGTGCCCTTTCCATTCCGCTATGCTTGCCTGGACAGCGACACCAAGTCTCTACCATGGGGAGGCCATGACCAGCCTCCTCCCCAAATATAGCCGCTACTAAGACTATACTAGAGGCCACTTGCTGATGATGAAGTCAGAGGTGAGGGTCATTGAGAATATCTCTTGGGGCTGGGGCCTCCCTTACGTTCCAAAGCAAGGGTCATTGCCACCGGGGGTAGCGAGCCTTCCACGCCTGCAGGGTAGCAGGTTCCACAGCACCTGCTGGCGCCCTTCAGGTGCCAACTTCGCCTTTTGGCAGCACCTGCTGGCGCAGCACGGGCTCTACCTGGTGCGGATGGATCATCGAGACGCGGTCTTCGCTCGGAGGAAGGCGGGACGTCTGCGCGAGCCGGGTTTCCTCTGCCATGGGAGTTGAGGCGTCCAGTGTGCTGAGGCCCCAGACCGTCGGAAGTTCTTGGGAATCATGGCCTGCTACTTGAGGCGGCTTCCCAGAAGCTGGGAACACGGGGAGAGACAGGAGAACATGTGAAGAAGGTGAACATGTGCATTGGCATGCACATGTGAACATGCATTAACCATAGCTGGCCCACTGCGCATGATCGTCGCACTGGCGCGAGCCGTGGACACACTAGGCAGTATTTGCTGAAGCCAAATCCACTGCAGATGGTGGGGCCTCATACACTTGCTCCACGGCATGCAAAGAGCTGACAAGTAGTTGCTGCATTGTGTATTGCAGGTTCCCCAAGCTTTCCAACAAGTCAGTCACACATTACAAGGGACGCTATTCGTAGCAAAGGGCATCGCTACTAGGAGCAAGAAGCTACTAGTAGCTCCTGGTATTACCACTAGGAACAAGAAGCTACTAGTAACAAGGGGCATTGCTACTAGGTCAAATTGGCATGATTTGCGGAATCGCACCTGTGACGTCTACTGTGCCACTCCAAGATGAGGATCAGAATACCATCTTCCGCCAACACTGGATCTCTTCAGAGCCGACCACCGCGCTGTCCTAAATTTTCAAGTATTTTTATAACCTATATATATAAATCAATGTACCAACTTGGAGATGCCTGCTGCCGGCAGTGCTGCAGTTGAGACCTTAGCGGTAATATAAGTTCAACTTGAAGTGGCTTATGGGCAGCAAGCAGAGTTCTCAGACCCTTGGCATGGAAGCAAGCCAGGTGATTGATGAGATATGGCAGAACTTAACAACAACCAGGAATGACATTCGCTTCTTCCTGGACGTCTGAGTCGAGCCGCGTGTGCAGCTCGACCCGTCGACAAGGCTTCGCAGGCGGTTTCGCCGCAAAATCCATTCTGTGCTTGTGCGATGGGAGCCGCTGTTCACTGGGCTTTTCTTGTACCTCGTGTGCGCTTGCTTACTGCATTTTTGACGGAATGGGGTGCACGCGTGGGTGGGCAGATGTAGGGGGCGGGTATGGTGGGTAACCCGGAGATGTGTCACCACCATTCATCCACAGCAAGCTAGTGGTGTTGAGATTTAACTCCTGACAGGAGTCTCTACGCCTCAGCTGGAGCGGCGGAGGCCCGGAGGTGACCCGACTCAATGCCGGTGCCGTGCTTGCATTTCAGAGCCTAAAGGCAGGTTCTGCACTTCAAACACACAGGGAGTCCCTAGTGTAGACTTTTGATGAGTACAACCCCTCCCATTTGGTAAAACCTTGTCATATCAAACATTGAAATATCAATATCATTCAGAGTTTGTGTGATGCAGAACGGACACGGAATGCCCAATCCATGAGCCCGACACTGGTTGCATGTCCACTGAGGGCTCCATGGCGGATTCTCCGGTTCCGGGGTCCTCATGGAGCTGGTCGCTGGACACGGGCTGAACACGTTGGCACGAAGCACGACAGAGGCACCGGACAATTCAAAAGACAATTTACTCAGATCGGAGGGCAGAAACTCAGCTGGCGGCCAATGTGTTTCGTTTTGCGATGCGCGTTCTTGAAGGAACCAGGTGGATAATCTGTGCTTTTTGGTTTTTGGTCTTGTGTAAATGGGGACTTTTGGAGAGGAAAGGTGCATGTTCCCATAGGGTCATATCAAGCTTGCAGCGTGATGGCAGGAACAGTGTGTTGAGCCAGTCCCGAAATCGCGGGGCCTTGTTTTCTCGTCCGTGGCGGGCTAAGGTGGCTACTAGAATTGCAAGTAGACATAATAGACGACGGATGATGAGAGTTTGTCTAGGTGAGCTGGCGAGTGTAAGGGCCAAATTGTAGGATGTGAGATTGTGTTTTCAGGATCCATTGGCCCATTGGTCAATTTTTGCACATTCATCGAGTCCAAAGCAGTGCCACTTGCTGTAGGTTGGCAATCAATGCCTTCCAGTGGTGCGGAGCTGGCTTATCAGCTGCACTTCATACATCGCTTTACTATGTTTGTTGTTAGACCTCAAGTTCGAAGAGGCCCCAGCAAACGGAGTTCCAATGCCCATTCAAGCCAGTCCCTATCCCCAATGTACTGTAGATACGGCAGGTAATAGATCAATTGAAGCTGGACTTGCTGGAGGCTACAAACGCGAGATGCTGACTTTGATTTGGCACTAGTGTCAGGCGCTGAGTGGCTGAGGCTGAAGCCGGCTTGCCTCATGAGATTACGGTTTCCGAGGTTCTACAAGGAGCCAGACTCGCCAGTGCTTCACGAACTGAACATGCTGAGTCAAGAAATAACAGGCAGTGGCGGAGGGTGACTTTAAGGGTGATCCTTTTTTTACAGTACAGTAAATGTTTTTTTTGTTTGTAGTGGTTAGGTGGCTTTGGCGGCTTTTGGCTTCTGTGGCTTTTGTGGCTTCTGGCTTTTGTTGCTTTTGTGGCTTTTGGCTTCTGTGGCTTTTGGCTTCTGTGGCTTTTGGCTTTCGTGGCTTTTGTGGCTTTTGGCTCCTGTGTGGCTTTTGGGTTCTGTGGCTTTTGCGGCTTTTGGCTTCTGTGTGGGTTTTGGCTTTTGTATCGATGTCGGACTATAGTTATATATATATATTATATTGAAATATCAACGGGTTTTCTAGTAAAAACACTACATTTTTAAATGAATTTTATATTGAACTCTCTCTTTTGATGAGTTTTCTATTGCATTCTTTGCTTTTGATGACTCTTCTAGACAGAATCTCTACTTGTAATGCCTTTCCCCTTGAGAACCACACAGACCACCAAAAAAACAAACAAAACAATCAAAAACAACACAAATTCCCAATTAAAGTCCCGACCCGCCAGTGGCAGTGGGATTGCAGTTTGGCCTTGTGCTTCTTCTCTTGCTTCACGTCGGGACTGGCAAGGAGTTATATTGGCTCTCACTCCACATGTAAGCTTGTCATCGCAGGCATGGAAGTGCTTCAGCATGAAGGGATGATGCTGGGCACAAGACATGGGAAGTTCTGCCTCACTCATCGCTGATCATGGTATCTCACTATTTCATCTCAAATGTTGGTCACGGTTCCCTGCCATTGAGGAAATGGCCCAACTTCCGGTATTGGCTGGAACTGCAGGGTGGGGCGGAGAAGGTTGCTGCAAGATATGTCATTGCCTCGGTTCCTTCGGGAGATTTTTTTCTGCTTTAACCTGTTTTGATGGCTATTCAGGACTACATTTGGGTCGTGGATGATGATGTACGGCTCCCCACCACAGAGATTTCCCGCATGTTCCAGATTTTGTGATTTGGGCCGCAGCTAAATGCAGCAAAAGCCAGAAGTTTAGAAACACAGTTACAACATGATTTTTCAGTGGACACCTCGCACGTCGACAGCGCCACCAAGAGTTCCAACAGATTTGGGCTGGATGTATTTCAGTCGGGCACCGAAAACACTACTGCAAGAACCGTGTGGAGTTTTGGCACCTCTTCATCTTCAATGAGAAAAGGTGTACATGCAGAAGAGGAATTCTCTTAACATGGGCGTGGGATCTATGGTGTTAAGATTCCCGTTCTATCCCGTTCTGCTGGCTTTCCTATCCGAGACGAGAACACAGCCAAATAGCCTTCGCTTGCCCATCCTTTGACAAGGTCCGGGGGTTTCAATGGGGAAGACATTTGATTTTTTGGTATTGGTGGCTCGTGGGTGTGACATGACTGCCAAATCAAGTTGTTGTCAAGTAGCCGAGTGCGTTGGGGCTTCTTGAGCTGTGATCGCAGGGGAGCGATGGTGTTTGGCGCTTCTTTGATGGGCATGATCCCCGCGTCTTGGCCCGGAGTTAGGCTTGAGGGTTGTGCTGAAGAGCAGTGTAAACTACAATATCTACAATGCAATAGCAATCATATTTTAGTGCCATCGGGAGGGTCGCACCTTGCTTCAGGGTGTCAGGGAAGCGAGCTGTCCCCCTTTGGTCAGTTGTTCTTCTTGCATGCACGGCTTCTCCATGGCCATTCCACCCCAAAAACAACGAAAGCGCACCAGACAAGCAGCGAGCAATGCACCCGATTGGCCACCTCGTTCCGCCGTGAGCTCGCCACGACGAGGTCCGCGGAACTCGTCGTGATGCCCAGGTTGGAAGCTGCGATACACGAATTTCGTGGAATGTGCGATGCATGGAGCAAAGAGAGGGAGAAGGGGTAGCTGAGAACATCTGAGAACCTAGTCAAAGGTGGCACAGTCAGAGGTGTTTGTCCACCTGGAGGTACTGCCCCAGTGCTCAAGAGCTCAATGCTGCTGGATGCGCGATTCCAGCCGTGCCTGCGGGCTGTGCGAACAGGTCGCCTGTTTCAGGATCTTCATATAGGTGTTTTGACTTGAGATGCAGCAGGTTGCTTTATTGATTTCTGCTTCCATCCTGCTGCTGGTGGAGGAAGGGATGTGGTTGCTGTAGCGAGGCTGCACTTGGTGCAGTTCCCCTCGGACCCAGCACCGATTAAAGGCTTCCTTTCCATTGAGATGGGGTAGTGTTCGGCTGAAGGTCATCGATGCAGTCCAATGCCACCATCCTCCTCGCACAGCAGACTATCCCAGTGAGATGCGGCAAGTGCAGGATGGACCTGTGATAGGACATTGTTGACTGTTCCAGGGCTGAGAATTGCAATTGCAAATCCTAATTGCGCTCTTAGGCTACTTAGGTTGGACATGTCAATGCTTGACCCTGGTGAGCAAGCTGGGAAGCTGGATTTGAACGTTTTCTTTTGTGGGGGGTGCTGGGGGCGTCATGCTCGACGTCCTTGCCAGGCTTGGCAGGAGCACAAGCATGATGATGTCCTGTTTGAAAAGGAGAGCGGAGTCAGAGTTAGGTTTGTAGATCTATGATTAGATCTTAAACACGTTCCACAGTCACGTTATGGTGCTGGTGGAAGTTCCAGCAGCCCGGAGTGGCCGTTGTTTGATGTCATTTTGATTCCATGCAATGGCAGGAGGGTGTGCCAAAAGATTGGTGGGCCATCGAGCCCCGCTTTTTCCAGCCCAAGGCCCGGATCAAAGGGTCCAGAAAGGAGTCCAGAAGGAGAGCGTGGGTCTATGTTGACCTTGGCCCAAGCTGTCCTGAAGAAGTCCTATACAGCGCAGGTCCTTGGCGCAGTGCCCATCGGAAGTTGAGAGGTGAGTTCTGCTACATCTTCGAGCGAAGATCGCGAGCCTCGCGATCAGGGAGCCAAAAGACCTGCAGGACAAACAAGTACCATCAGAGATGATAATTGATGATCATGATGATCGATAGCTGATAACACAGTTTTTTTTGATGGGCAGCCCATTTCATCCAAGACGGGGAAGCACAAAAACAAAACAAAAAAACCACCACGCCTTCATTGGAAGCCAGTTCGACTGGGAGACACAGCCTTCAAAGCCCTGAGGACACGGCACGTCGACATGGCGTTGGACGAGCTGCGCACGCGGAACCGATGTCGTCCCGTCCCAACACGTCTCCACGGAACAATGACCGTGCCGAGACGAAACGGTGACCGGACAGCGTGGGACGAAACTGTGAGTCTGAGCATGTGAGAAAAGGTGGGCTCTGAACACTACATGTGGCCACACAGGAAACCGCTCAAGCACCTTATTTCGTCTCCATGTTTTCTTTTGGAGCTGCGTTGGAGGCTGCAAAGCATCAGCAAGAGTGCTGACGAGGCGCAAGATGAACTGCACAGCTAATGATTGGATGCCAGGAGCCTCTAGTAGCGTCCTTGCTCCTAGTAGCGATGTCAGGAGCCCCTAGACATCCTTGCTCCTACCCCCCCCTCAACATTGTGTTTAACATTCTTTTGCTCGCACGTTTGAGAAGCCAAGGCGTGGATGATGTGGGACGGTCATCAGAAGGGGTGAGCCCTCCATGTTGGGATCGGAGAGAAAAATGGTGGTGGTGGTGGTGGTGGTGTTTTAGAGAGTTGTGCCATATATGTATCTCCATACAAAGCAAGATGCATCTGACTTGGCTGAGTCGTTTGAGAAGAAGACGTAGTTAGCCGCCATTGGGCCATAGCCAAGCACACTTCGTGGCCTAGCGATTATCAATGCCACACGGATAATATACTGATCTACAAGAGATAAACTCAGTGACTCGAGCGTTTCAATGCGACGCAACGGCATGGACAGAGGGTAGGGAGAGACCTGAACAGGTGTCGGTCAGTCGGTCAGGTGGAGAATGCACAGCACCAGTGTCATGAAGCACCTATTTTCCCATGGATTCCCTTGCAACACATGGCATGCAGGGTCAAGGAATGTGAGAAGACAATGTAGTTCGGAGCCCGGCCAGGTTTCCCGTACTCTTGCAGCCGGTGGCCCTGCTGGTGCGCATGGCTTTCATCGATCCAAGGGACATTTGACACCGGCCGATCAAGACTCAGTGGAGGCTCCAAACGGCATCCCATGGGTTTTTCTCCATCGGTGATTCTTCCAATCTTGTTGCCTTAAGTATCTTATGCATGATCGCGTGCCAAGTTTTAGGCTCAGTTTCGCATCATTGCGCTGCCCCAGTTAGCGGGCAAGCCAAAAGTGGTAAAGAGCCAATGACATCCTCGATGCCGCTACTTCATTGGAAGAGGAGCCACGAAATGGAGAAGCAGGTGAAGCTCTTGCATTCTAAGAGTTGAGAGAGTTGTGCAGCAAAACCATCGAAACAGGTCGAAACCATCGCAGACCACCATGTTGGCGAGTAGAATTGATCCGAAGAAGTGGCGCTAAGACCCTAGTGCCCTGCCATCCCTGAGGTCCCTGTGATTCGGGAGCAGCCCGATGAGATGGACGAGATCCTCTCGGTGCGTCCCATGATGTCGCGAAAAGGCACCCAAGCCTCCTTCACTGATGGGCGAGATGCAGATGATTTGTGTCCCAAGCTGCCTCCGATTGTAGCTTCTCAAGAGGGGCAAACATCAGAAGGCCGGCCTTCCTCCTCCTTGATGCTCGGCTGGGTGGCAACTCTTGAGATTTTGCTCAAGGTTTTTTGCTTTTGCAACATCTATCGCGATCACGATACCTCTACCTCTATTTGTTTTGATGATATTTGATGATAATCATTCCCCACCTCCCACGAATCATCACGAATCCCTTATGGTTGTTTCTCTGTTTCTCTACAGTAAGTGTGTTTTTGCTTTGTTTGAACAGGCCTGGTAGGCCTATGCTTGATCCAAGGGCACTTATGCATTTCCGAAATTCCCCAAAATGGCAGGGGGGCGATTTCCAGTGTTTCCAACATCGCCTCAATGATAGTGCTTTGGGCTGGGGGGCCGGCAGGGCCCCGATCCGCACACCGGTTCCCCCCAAGCCGTGTGTGGCCTCGATCTGAGCTTTCCACTGAGGGCTCGATCTGGTTCAGCTGTGCTACTTCGGTCTCAAGCCGTGGCTCGCCGCCGTTGGACGGTGGACCTCTCGGCCTGTGAGGAGGACGGTTCCTTTTCTTCGTTGTTCACACCGCCACGGCCAGAGTGTCGGAGTGGGTGCGACAGGTTGTGCAGGAATGGGAGGTTCAGGTGTGACACTCTGTTGAAGAAGGACATGTTTGGATACATGAGACTTGTTGAGTTGATTCTTTTTCGCACACGATTGGTCAAGGACGTATGCTCCCCGAAATGGGCTGCACCCATGGTTCGAAGGGCTTCGAACCGACTGGTCATGGAAGGGGACGACTGTGACAGGCTGAGACGTGGAGAAAGAACTGATTTGTGGCTTATCGGTTCACGTGATCACGTGCTCTGGGTCGATCGAAAGAAAGCTCCTACAATGAAATTGGCCAGGGCACTGTGTACATATAATACGGAAAAAAGTTCCAAATTCCCGACATGCGGAACTGCCTAAGAAGGATTATATTGCCCCACGCTCAGCATAACAGTTGGTTTGTTGGGAAGAGCCTGCTACATACGCCTTTTGGGTCAGGCTCAAATCATGTGGCAGGTCTTTCGTGGAGATATGTGGCCGAGTCCAGAGCCTGATGGATCAGACTGTGATGCGCGTTCTGAAGTTTATGAGCCGCATTCGTGATTGCAACCTGGCAAGGACTTTGATGCCATCCCCACACACCGTGGATGCCACGCACGCACGCACGCACGCACGCACGCACTCCCTTCAGGCATTCGAGCATCGGCCCACCCACCCACCCACCCATCCACCCACCCAGTCTATTTTGTGTGCTTGCCTTCTCTCCTCCTCTTCCCGAATACGCCTCTTTCTCTTTGTCACCCTTCACCCCTCCCTTCTGGCCAAGAGCCCTTTTGGGAGAAATAGGCTCAGCAGCTAGACTAAATTCTGAGGCAATGGTGGCCAACGACTCCCTGCAGCAATCTCCCAGCAGTGCGTTTCTGCCTCCCAGCTTGGCGTTTTCGTTCTCGTTCCAGTTCCTCCTCCAAGGTCACAAAGAGGCGCCTGAGATGCTCCTGGAGCCCGACAACTTTGAGCGACTTAGCTCGATCGGCTCCTTGGCAATCAGGCAATCAGCCGCATTCCAAGAAAACAGACGTCAGACTGGAGCATGTTGCGTGTTGTGCCATCACATGGTTTGGTATGTCTTGGTGGTGGAAACACGTCTCCCACCAGTTGTCAGAGGCTACATGGTGGCAACAGTGAACTACCGCATCAGTAAGTGGCTGCATCAACTTCAGCCTCGAGAGTACGTCGCTTGAAGTGCAGACAGATAGTGGGCATGGAAGGCGATCAAACCCTCTTTCATGGGACAGCACCTGCTACTTCTCGTCAACTTCTCGTCAATCAGAGTCCAAATAGTTTTCTTTTCTTCTTCCATCTCTGGCTGTGAGTTCCTGTGAGTTCGGCTTGCACCCGCTGCCTCGAGTTCCTGAGTTGAAGCCCATGAAGCCAACAGAGAGCCACTTCCGGGAGCGCACCGTGGAGGAGCTGCTGCGCGACGTGAACTTCGCGCTGAGCCGCTCGAGCGTGTTGGCCTCGGACCTGGCGCCCAAGCTGCGGAAGATCCTCGGCGAGTCCAGCAGAGGTCCCAAGGCCAAGCCGGGGGGAACGCCGGGGAGGCGACGGATCGGGCGGAAACAGATGAAACAGCTCAGAGGGAACAAGGCGCAGGGAGGCCCTGGGGTTGGACTAGATGACTTGGATTGGTGGTCATGCCAGATATTGAGATGTTTTGCATGTGTCTCCTCAGCCAATTTGGAGCCAAGAAACCTTGTCCCCCAAAGTTGAGCAGCTGATAGCGAAATTATGGCCTACAAGGAAGTTGATGTCATCATCGCTGGGGCTGGAGCCGCTGGATTGAATGCGGCCTCTATCCTGCACAAGGCAGGAAAGAAGGTGGTGGTTCTGGAATCTCGGGATCGAGTTGGAGGTCGAATCTACAGCGAAAAGCTACCCTCCGGAAGTCATGTGGAACTGGGTGCCCAGTGGCAGGCGGCAGCCGGTCATGATCGATTGGAGAAGCTTGTGCAAACTTATGGATTCAGGAAGCTAGAACACAGTCTTGCAGGAAAAGCGGTGGTGTGGAGAGATGCGACAAAAAAACTTCATTCCCCGGGCAGCTATGGTGTTGGACTCTTCTCTGGTCTAGACTTTATGCTGAGACTTTGGAGGATCAGCAGAATCAGCAAGCGAATCTCGCTGAATGGGTTCAAGCCGGATTTGGAAGAGTATGACAACATGAGTGTGGGTGATTACGTGGAGAAGCGCTCATGGACCGGCGGTGCCATCACTCTGTGTCTTCAGCTCTTGAAAGGAGGCTTTTGCCGCGACCCTAAGCAGATTTCCGTTTACTCCGCTGCGCACACCCTGAAGACCTGCGGATCATTCGAGCAACAAGAGAACGCAGAGAAGTACTTTTTTGATCAAGGGCTTCAGAACCTGGGTTTGGTCGATCAGGTTGTATATTTTGATTTTCCTTTCCATTTGGACAACCCCCTCTTTAGTTCAGGCAATTTTTCGGGAGATGTTTAAACTAACACAACTATATAACATAACTAACAACTGAATAAAGACCTTAATTAAGGCCCTTCAGCAATTAGCATAAATCGGCAAATCCAAGGAACATCTTCGTGGAAGTGGCCAAGGAGTTTGAAGCTGACATCGAGCTCAACACACGTGTGGTGGAAGTGGACACTTCTGGAGGTCAGGTTGTGGTAAAGGCCAACAACGGCAGAATCTATGCCGGACAGGAGTTGATCTTAGCATTCCCGCCGCAGCTACTGCAGCGAATCCACTTCCAGCCTGCCCTACCAAGCCAGTACAGCGAAGTGGCTTCATCAATGGTCTTGGGGCAGGTAGTGAAGCTCGTCGCAGTCTTTCCAAGCCCTTGGTGGCGCAAGCGCGGACTGACTGGCTTTATCAGCTCTTTGGGAAGGTCAAGCCGAACATTTGATATTTCAGAAGTGGCAGACCTAAGCCACTCAACTGGCAATGGCGTCTTGGCCGGTTTTGTCGTCGGCTCCCAGGCAGTGGAGATTTGCCAGAAACCGCTGGAGGAGCTGAAGAAGGGCTTTGCTGAGTTCTTGAGTGCTTCTTTTGGGTCCCTAGAGGAGGACATCCAGTCCTTTCATTACCACAACTGGATTGCTGATGAAGACTCCTTAGGTGCTTATGTGTCCAGCCCTGCAGTGGGTCAGTGGAAAAAGTTGTCCAATGGCTTTTTCCCAAAGACCGGACGGATCAGCTTCGCTGGGACCGAATATGCTCATCACTGGCGAGGCTACATGGAGGGTGCTTTGGAGTCTGGTGAACGGAGTGCCCATGCAGTGTTGGCTAGCTTGGAAGCCACTAGCGTTGCGACTTCTTAGCTCTGATACTTAGTCTGAGCAGGGCTGGCTTCCAATTTTTGAAGAAATGCAGGTTCCAGCTTTTAGGAGTTTGGCAGTGGCACTGTTCAAAGTTCAAAGTCAACATGCAGCAACACTTTTCGGGAGGTTTGCTGCAGGACTTGGGGCTAAAGACCTCCCACTCCGGACGCCGCGAGCTCCACACCGGGCTTGCAGTTGTAAAGTTGTAAAGATGATGCGGTGCATGTTGAGACAGGATCAAAACATATCAAATCTTGTTCCGATGGATATGGACCTGGAGGATGGACAACAAGGACGATCATGTGAGATCACGGAGGATCCAACTGTTCAGCTAACTGGAACATAAAGATCGTCAGGATCCTCCTTTTAACAAATGTTTGGTTAGTTTCCCCACTTAATATGAACAGCAGATGGAAAAAGGTCAATTTTCTTCCATTTAGCAGGGACACTGACGGAGTCAGTTGTAGACAGGGGTTGCATTTTTGTCCAAGTAGCACTCAAGGACACCTGTCCTATAAGACATATGCCATTCTAGTGTAGCATGGCCACGCGCGTGCTTGCTCCTAGTAGCGATGCCCTTTGCTCCTAGTAGCGTCTTTGCTCCTTGCAGTAAGGCCAGGAGCCCCTAGTAGCGTCCTTGCTCCTAGTAGCGATGCCAGGAGCATTTGGGCCAGTGACGTTTCGTTTGCGGAACAAATCGCAACCGATCCAGGCCAAGCCCGAGTTCCTGCTGGACGAGCCAAACTCCTTGAGCGCAGGCACGATGTGGCACGATAGGTCGTTCGCCTGCGTCGGCCCCTCGGAATCAATGATGCTATTGTGCAGATTGGTTTCAGGTGGATGCTTTGAAGATGGCATGCGGAAATCATTCCATTTTCATGCATTCTTGGCATTTGCCCGGACTGTTGTTCTTTTGTTTGTGTGTGTCGTTTTAGCTTTGTTGGGCAAACTGGACGAAGGTGCTGACTGCATGATAGAAATGCAAGTGATTTGGTTTGCAGGCTGCAACCTGGAGCAGGTGGCTCGACGCCATGGCATCACAGATGTGCAGGAAATCCAGGGGCTCGTGGGCCATTTGGAACGGCTTTTGGAGGCTTGTGCCCGTGGGCAATCCTGAGCTCTGAACTCGAAGTGCTTAGCTCGCCCTTAGCTCAACTGCTAAACACGTCCCACATCAAAAGAGAGCTGGCCACTGTGAGCGTGCGCTTTCTTAAGAGATTCAGTTATATTCAATACAGTAGAAAATATAGCATAGGAGGAACAATATATAGATGCAATAAAAATAAGAGAGCAGGTAGTCATGGGGGGTGGGGGTTTTGAAAGTTTTCTCTTTTTGCAGATGATATGACATTGATAGGGTTGTGAACGTTGTATTTTTTGTAAGGTTTTGCGCTTTTTGGTGATGATATCACATTGATATGATGGTGAAATTTGTGTTTTTTGCTCTATGTGCAGTTGGTAGGCATATTTGTTCATTCAACTCTGTACTACAAAAAGACTAAATCCATAAGGTTAGGTGTTTGCAAAAAAAAATTGGATGTAGTAATGTAATTCCACGCAGCCCCCATGCAAAACCATATTTCTTGCCTTTAGAGTGTGAATTGCATTGCTTTTATTGAATGCAATTGGTTAAGTACATCAGAATCAGAAGGCAAATCAATACACAACCTAAATAACCAAATTCTAATTTGATTCTTACTTAATTCAAATCTATTTAAATTCAGTTTAACTCTATTTCAATTATGTTTTAATTCTACTTTGATTCACATTTCCTTCACTATAGGTTCTAATTTATGTGGGATTCAATGCAAGCTACCTTCATTTCCTTGCTATACAAATCAGATTCAATTCTAATATTATATTTTTCAATTTAACTTTTGGTTTTATGAAATTCTAATTTACTTCTAGGTCATTGGTGTTGTTTTCAGCATGAGGGATTGTTATTAAGTTTGTCCAACATGGAAGCATTTGCTTTCTTACATGCAATAAATTCATACCCCCAGCAACACCCACTCTCTAGAATGAAATCAACTTAGACCTAAAATGGACATATAGAAATCAAAATTAAATTGCAATGACAATAGTGTAAAATTAGATGTGTAAAGCGATTGAATCTGAATTGTACAAGGGCACTAACATTATAGAATGAAATAGAATTAACCTAGAAATAAATTGGAATTAAGTTGGAATTGAATGAACAACATCAAATAAAATCCATTACTTAAATTGAAATTGACTTTTAGTAGAACAGTAGTGACAGTGAAACAGTTTTACTTAAATTCAATTAATTAAAATTGCAAAATTCAGTTATGCTCAACTAAAAGAAATTAGAAGCATGTTGCAAATTCACATGTACACTCAAATTTGAATTTAATATTAGATCCAGGGTAGCCAAACATAATCAATTATACAAGACATAAATTAGAATACACATTGAATTATAATTTGATTACAGTGAATTTTAAAATACATAGACCTAATTTAGAATTCAATTAGGCCCAACTTAGAATTAACGTAGAAGTGTGTTACATATTCAAGTTAAATTCAATTTAAAGTTCACTTAGATTCAAACTTGAATGTAAATAGAAATAGACGTGAATTTCAATTAGAATAATAATTGACTTAGAATTTACTTAAGTTACTTAAGTAAATTCTAAGTCAATTATTATTCTAATTGAAATTCACGTCTATTTCTATTTACATTCAAGTTTGAATCTAAGTGAACTTTAAATTAACTTAAGTTGTATTTAAGTCAAAAATTAAGGAATTAAATTAGAATTGAACTAGTGGTCACTCAGAAATGAAAAAACACATTGCTTACTTTTGGGCAGACCAGCCAACACAAAAACAGCAAAAAAACAAGAAGTTCAGACCCACGGAGGGATACCCAGGAGAGGCTGGACAGGAGACATAGGTCTGAACTTTTGTTTTTTCGTTTTATGAATTGTATTGATTGTAGGCAGATGCTCACACATGCTCACAACTGACAAATGCTCACAAAGACACTGTTTTGCGCACGCTGGTGGTAGCCTGTTCTGCATCAAAACCACATCAAAATAAGTTCCCTTTGACATTCAATCAAGGTATTCAGGATTGTAAGCTCATGCGCACTGGGATGCCTGGAGTACTACCGCAAACATGTGTAAATACCAAGAAGTATCGGGATCGTGGTGTTCTGAAGTGCTGAAGTGCTCCCCCATTCTACCAAGTCTGTCCATGATGGGGTTGGCCGCCGCAGGTCTCTCATGCCTTGGCCTTCCGGCCAGCACCCAGCAAGGTGCGCATATCTGCAACCATTTTGTTGGCATCGCAACGTTTCAAGAAGCTTGTGGACTCACAGACCAAGACGAAAGGACCCTTAGGACCTTTTGGTAGCGTGCACGAGGAGAATTTACACACACTCTGCGCGGGTGCTGCGCGCAAACCATTTTGAAGGCCTCGCGTATTTCAGCAGACGCTTTTGGAGGCAGTTCCGAGCTTGAAGACCTTATTCAGGTTCAACTTTAAACAAGGGTCTGGCAGGCCCGCCACGTGGGCACGCCAGGATCGTACTGTATGCACCTCAGGTGTGACCTAGCAGGGCGGAACGAACAAAATGTTCACCGCAGGCTAGAAAGAAAAGATGGCGCTGAACGTCGTGTGGGGTGCAGTGGTCCCCAGTTGCCTGGGTTCAAGCTTCTTTGCTCTTCGAGGGAGAGTGCTGCATCATCCTGACTGATCAGCTTGACATGTCAGCGCACAATTGAGCAGAGTATTTTGCTATCCAAGTCTTGGCTAGGCGGCTAGTAGCGGCTAGACGTCGTGTGGCAATCATCCCTGTCTGCCTTGGTGCCAGGATCGTCTTGTGGCATATCGGCACAGTGAGACTTGGCTAATCAGGCTTAAGGGTCTGTTTGACGCTTCAACTCTTTGATATCCCTTGGTATTTTGCATGCTTTGTATCTTCCAGACTTTGACCACTTGCCACGCCACCTGACATGACTCAATGGTGTGATCGTAACTCCACCTGGTGTACGCCCTACTGTGAAGCATGCAAAGAGCTGGTCCGCAGCACTGAACAATGGCAATCATTGGGGTGGATCGAACAGAAGTTCTGCAAAACGAGGGCTCGCAACTGGCCCTCCTCGCAACGCACCTGCCTCAGGACGTAACACTGCCGCGAGAAGCAGTGCTTTGGACCATCTCGGAGGCTGTAGGGCGGGGTTTTCCAGAAGACCTTGACACCTGGCTTGAGGTGCTGAAGGGTCCTTGAAGGTTTTCAGGGTAAGCTTTCAGATCCTGTCAGCGCCTGCACGGGGCACAGCACAGGTGGACATCTACCTTGGCAGCTTGGGATTTATTCGGCCCAGCCGAGAGTCCTCATTAATGCGGAGTTCAAAGAGGTGTGGTGATGGGTGGGCGAGACCGTCGACCCACGTGAGGCGAAGTCGACACGCGTGAGGCGAAGCCCGGTAGAATGCCAATGCCGATGGGTTTTTGTTCGTTTTATCCCAGTCCACTGTGCAAGTTCAAGCTGATTGAATCAAAGCGGGCCTCTTTGTATGTGTGTGAGAACTTTCCGATGCAGAATGGAATCATATCGACGGCTCCCCCACCACAACATACCACAACCATAGGCCAAATGTTTGTTCTTACTTTCGAACATGCGGACATCTCGCGCTTCCAGCACCACGTAGTTAGCTTCGTGATGCTTGTTGCATGGAGCGACATGGTGGAAAAGGGTGGACGATGCTTCGTTGAGCGAAAAAAGATGAAACAAGAAGGTGGACTTGGGATGACGTGGGCATCATGATTGAAAAGGGTTCTTATTTAAGGATATTTAAGTGGCCCAAGCACTGGATGGCACTCCTCTTTTGCGCACAGGATGCTCTTGGCATAGCTCTTTCATGCCTCGAACAGGCTGGTGCGCGCTCTGCGAGGTGGCTACAAGCCCCTGGAATTTCGCCCGGTGCCAGGAGTTTGTGTCAGCTGTATGAACTAGAGCAGCGCTGGACCATATTGGGACACGCTAAGCTGCTAAGACTTGGTAACGGTAATTAACAATGAAGAGTTGCACTAACTAAGATGTAGCAGCGCAGAAGACGATCTGTCCCAATTCAATCCATTCGAGTATTTATTCTAAGAGGTATGGCTCTGGCAACTGTGGGCCTTTCCCCAGAAAACCTGTCATGCAAGATATTAGTACACCGTTTCGATACACTGGAAGGGTTTCAATCAGGTGTAGACCAAAGCGGAAAGGACAGCGGGGTCTTCTCTTCGATCGATGTTGAGAAAGGCGGGATCGGGATGAGCGATGATGTTCCATATTGCCTATTGTGCTACAAGCTTTGAAAGCCGCTTGAACTGCTTGAAAGCTTTTTTTGAATTGACTTTTTGGCTTCCAGAAAATCCTTGACAGCGCTATGCGCAGTGGTCCCGCAGAGCCTTCAGGCGACTTGGTGGAACTTTGCCCACTACATGAGGTGCCTGCACATCTCCGTGCCATCAGCAAAGTGCTACAGCGGATCACGGTGCCCCGAGCAAAGTCCTGCCAGCCTGCGGTTTTGATACTTCCTGCACATCGTCGCTTTTTCCGCCGTTTGATGCGCAAGACTGGTGGATTCTAGCATTGATCTAGAACCTACACTGGTGCAGAGGTACCTATGCAGTGTGATGCTTCCCGCTTTGCCATCGTGCTTGGATTTGGGAAAGTCTACCTGGCATCGATTTGGCCAGGTGGTCCAATCTGGTGCATTTTAACACAAGAAGAAGGCAGAAGGCGATACAAAGGCCTTCGGTCTTAGGTTTTGCACTTGACTGCCCTTTGTGGTCTCTAGGCTTGCATGTTTTTGAGACTTGATCCGGTTTTCGGTTTTGAGACTCGTTTGCCTCGTTTGCCTCTGGGTGCACAAGCTTGGACATGAGCTGCAAGAAACGCGAAGAAACGCGTCAGGGCTTTGGAGGGATTTTCCGAATCGCGAGTCACAGACTGCGACAGCTTTCGGAAGCGACAAAGTCTTTGGTTGATTCACGTTTCCAACTGTCGCCATGGTGTGATGTTTCTGTTTAAGAAGGACAGAGTCGGATGGAGTTTTCCTGCGGGGCAGGCGTTCGATCATTTTCTCCCACATCCTCCACATGCTTCCTGAAACTTCCAGCCTTTGGATCACTTTTGATCAATTTTGTACATCGGAATATCAAGCGTCGATATAGGACGGTAAGGTAACTGGGACGAAACGGAAGCATTTCAGAGCTGCGACCTCATGGCGACACCTCAGGAGGAGCCAGCGGCCAATGCAGCACCCCCGCTTCGTCGAGAATTCCTGGCGGTGAAGGCAAGGAGGACAAACAGTTGGAGACCACACCGACGAGGTGTTTCAATGTTCAGATATGAAAGCTAGTAGCGTCCTTGCTCCTAGTAGCGATGCCAGGAGCCCCAAGTAGCGTCCTTGTTCCTAGTAGCGTTCAGATATGAAAGCCAGTGGAGACGAGATCGTCAGAACCGGCCGAAGATCCGCGAATCGTCGATGGTGTTCCGTGTCGTGTGCCACTCAACACTCCGATGACCATACAGTCGGTCCCCCTGTTCCGGTCTTGCAGAGTCTTGCAGGTTGGGGGTGGGAAATGGTTCGAAGGATGATGTGAGGATTCGCTTGCAGGATTCTCCTGTTTACAATGTTTACATATGTTTACATTCTTTTAAAACCAAGATTGAGCTAGCTATATATATATATATAATTTAATAGGATAGTATCTAAAAATGTATAAGATCATGCCGGAAACTCCTGTCGATGCTGACTAGGGACCGAGAAGGTCCTGTCTCGCCCACACGGCACCAACCTCGACTCCAAATATAGATAGATTGGTTGCCAGCACCTGTGACGAGCGGACTTTCGTTCCTTACATACTCAGGTGATGTGTTCATCACGTTGGACTCAATATTCATCAAGCGGTTTTGGAAGTTCAAAGGTATTCAACCGTCGTGTGTTGGTCGCTCGTCGACGGGCACAAAGCCACATTCAGATGTCGAAAGGACGAAGCAACGAGCGGTGAGCAAACAACTCTTTTGGCCGCCCAACCGCTTTTTGGCTGAGGCATTGTTGTGCTAGCACTAGTAGACAACAAAACAGAAGGGCACATACATCAACAACAAACATTTCCTCAACTTGCGCTGTCTCATAGCCATTCATCATGACAGCGACACTCCGGTGCAGGCTCGAAACAACACTTTTCACAATTTCTGTGATTTCTTCCAGGGCCATTCCAAGGGTCAGATCAGCGGGGGTGCATGAGAAAACGCGCGAAGAGGCCTGGACGGACCAACCGTGACGCAAGTGCAGCAAATACAGGCCATTGGTCATTGGTCTGTAATGTTTGCAATCAACACCTTTATAAATGATCACTTAAATGATCGTATATGATTATTATGTATACATGTGCATTTGTTTTTCGTGTGTGACACTGATTAAACGGCAATTGTTTGCATAGTCCATTGTATCAGGTCTATACAGGGTTTTGATGCAGCACCAGCATGTCATAATTATTTAATCCTAGTGACTTAGTGCTTGGACATGTAAGACAGGTGGAAGAGCAGCTCCAGTTCGAGTCAACAGATGCCTGTTGCTTGCGACATCGTGCAACTGTGTTCTTTCATCGCCCAGGTCATGACGCAGAACAAAGGATCGCCAGCAAGGACGCCGCGGTTGGGGGTGCTGGAGGACGAACAAGCAAGGCCGGCAAGGCCAATTGAGCCTGAAGTATTAAGTTGTAATAAATATACGGTGTAGTCCATTGCCAGTAACAGTCGGTAAGAGATTATCACTGGTTTGAGGCAGGCCTTCACTAATCATCATCCACTGTTACTTGTATTGGTACATACCCAAGTTGTGTAGAACAGCTTAGCAGCCTTAGCAACTGAGATCCAGATGAATTGACTCCGACAGATCAAGCAGATCTGTACTGACACTGTTACGTCAAGTTCATTCTTGGACTCAGATCAAGTCTGTGCTTCAGCTGTGTGTGTGTATGTTGTCTGGAGAGAGGCGCATTTTCCCGGCACAGGACTCGAAGCCAGATGGAAGAAGCTGTCCCACGTGCTGTTGCATGTTGGAGATGGTGTTACAATGTGACACACACACATACATTTTTGGCAGCATTGGAATAGAGTAATACAAATCCCGCCCAAACAGTGTCGCGTTGTGGGGCTTCCGCGCCATAGGCCCACAGCTTCTCTTTGCATGCAGGTCGGCCACCCAGGCCCTTCGCACTGGTTGAGGCGGCTTCGGTGGGCGGTAGTATTGGACATTGTATTCTTTGAGCGCCACTTATGTACAAGGCAGGAATTCAAATCATCGTACAAGCGTTTGCAGAGCCATTCAGAGCCGGAAGGATAGGAAGCACATGGGACCGTTGCTGGCTCTCTGTCTTTGTCCATGGGACGAGTCCACATGGGCCATGTGACAGCGACACTGCCAGTGGAGAAGAAGAAGATACTGAGATACATCCATCCATGTAAGCGAGTCCCAAGGTGTGTAGGACTAGGTTGGAGGAAATCACTATTAGGTTGACATCGAAATCGAATCAGGTTGGAGGCCTTTTGACCTGTGAGAGAGAGAGAGAGAGAGACAACGCCCTGTGACCAGCCTCCTCGAACAGTTCTTCTCATAAGGGATCGCTTCTGGACAGGAGGGCTACGAGCGTTGGGGCTCCCGTGGCCAGAAGAGTGTCTCGGCGTGCCATTGTTTTGTTTTTGGAGTGGCTCTGCAAACTGCTTCTCAACATGTCAGACCACCAACATCTGACAGTCCATGCATGGCTGGGCTGCTTTCGACTGCTGCCGAGGTGGCTGCAGAAGCTCCTCACGCGCCAAAGATGCGCCAGCCAGCAGTCGGCAGGGATTGATTGATGTGGGATTGATTGATAAGCACCCTGAGCAGTCGGCAGCTGCTAGAAAACTGATGACACACACTTATGATTGGGTGTACTGAACTGAAAGCGGTGCCACACGCCGGCCTAGGTTACCATTTCCTAAGAGTACAAGTAAGAACCACCAGATCCTGGGAGGTCTTCAAAAGGAGATGGGGCCAAAAGCTCAAGACCGAAAGTGACGAGCAGGTCGAGATGACGTCGTGCGTACTTGTCTGCCGAACCAAAAGATTAAAAGTTGATGCAGGTACGTCAGCAAGCGTCCTTGCTGATATCAGCGCAACCTGAAGAGCCTGCCCTCTCTTCAGGTGTGGAGCATCCCTCTGCTCTAAGAAGGGAAACCAATCAAAAACAATCCAAATGGAACCCTGTGACTACAAGGGGCACACACACTCTGACATTGGTTTTGAGTTAACTCAATTCCCAGGACAAATGGCGATAGGACCGAAAGGTGGAAGAGTCGGCGCAATTGTATTGTTTAACAAAGGTTTGTGCACATCTGCAACTCACGAGAACAGCGGTGTCGAACGTCAGCGCGGCTGCACATCAGCGGTGGAAAATGGTTTGTGGGGAGTAGCATGAAAACCACCATGTAATCAAAAAGTGGAAGAGTAGGGTAACAGCGTGTGAAGAACTCCGCAGGTACATGAGAGTGATCAGCTCTCACTTCCCTCGACACAGCATAGCTTCGTTGCGTCAGGTAGATGTGTCGAGCCTGACGCCCCTGCGCTTTTAAACTCTTGGACAGAGTGTGGCACACACACACACACGCACTCAGCCGCTTTGCGCCGCTCCGGCGAAAAAAAGACCTAAATAAGCACCTAAAAAGCCTTAACTTAGAAACGAAAGAAAGAAAGACAGAAAGAGCAGCGCGAAAAGGGCAGGAGAAAAAGATAGGTGTAGGAAAAAGCGAATACTTAGCCCTTGACTGGGGTAGGGAATGTGTGTACATGTGTGTGTTTGAATACTTAGCCCTCTAGAGTTACTGACTACTTAGCGGAAGCTAATTGGGTGCAATAGTTAGGGAGCGGGACTTTAGTCTTACACCGCCCGGGTAGAGTAGACTAGAACAGGGCCAACAGAGGGAAAGGCACCGACGCACAAGTGTGTCGAGTACCATTTCCCTCTTACCTAATTAGGGGGAGGGGGGGTTGGGGTGTTTGGGGTAGAGAACACGTCGGGGTTTATTCTCCGTATGCCCGGCGGTTTAGAATTTTCATATGCCCGACGGCATCGTGTTTTGAGAATCCAGTAGTGAGGCCAATTCAGTTTAGAGAATCCAACGCATGGAGGGAACAGTTGAGTCCATTAAATCATTACACGATAGTCCGGAGTGAAAACGGCGCCTCCTTGCGGAGGATCACACCAAGTGGGACGACTGAGCGGGTCACACTCTGACATTGGTTTTCAGTTAACTCAATTCCCAGGAAAAATGGCGATGGGACCGAAAGGTGGAAGAGTCGGCGCAACTGTATTGTTTAACAAAGGTTTGTGCACATCTGCAGCTCACGAGAACAGCGGTGTCAAACGTCAGCGCGGCTGCACATCAGCGGTGGAAAATGGGTTTGTGGGGAGTAGCATGAAAGCCACCATGGAATCAAAAAGTGGAAGAGTAGGGTAACAGCGTGTGAAGAACTCCGCAGGTACATGAGAGTGATCAGCTCTCACTTCCCTCGACACATCATAGCTTCGTTGCGTCAGGTAAATGTGTCGAGCCTGACGCCCCTGCGTTTTTAAACTCTTGGACACAGAGTGTGGCACACACACACACATGATCACGCATGAT